CATGAAGCCTAAAGCAGAGGCAGCCGGCCATGGGTGCCCCACAGTAAGTCTATGGGTGACGTCATCTTCTAGGCCACAGGTGTCAAACTGGTTGTCCTCCAGCTGTTGCCAAACTACAAGTCCCATGAGGCACTGCAAGATTGACAGTTACAAGCATGACTCCCAAAGGCAAAGGCATGATAGGACTTGTAGTTTTGTAACAGCTGGAGTGCCGCCAGTTTGACACCCCTGTAGGCATTTCTCATCCCTTGTTGGCTTTCTCTCTACACAGAAGCCCCTACCGGAATGGCTTTAGAATAGGTAAGTATAGCGATCTTTTCTTCACAGGGTTAGATAGAGGAGGCTTGGCATGGGGCTGGGAGTAGATGTAGTTTGGTTTTGGGTGGAATTCCAATTTACGTCCATTCTGCTTGGTTTTGGGTAGTATCTTTTTTGGTCTTTGGAAGGTTGGAAGTTACAGTAATGTAAACCTTTCCATTCTCAAGCTCCTAATCAGTTGACCCATAAAACCTAATCAGATTATGTTGTTACTGGTTTGCAAATATTGACTTTCTGTAAAAAGTCAACAGCTACCCTCTTCACATCTATCTTTAACCATCACTGACCCCCAGTCACTGACCTATTCAGAGAACCATAACACATTACTGACACAGACAGAGCGGAGGTATCTTTGATGTCCACGCTGTGATTGACCCTTCTCTATCCTGTGTGAGAGGCAAGATGGTGGCACCCAGTGGGGTGTGATAACTGGCTCTTTGAAGACAAAATGAAGCAGAGTTTTTGCTTGCGGATTATACATTAGTGAGTTGTTTATACACTGCATAGGAAACACTCACAAATAAAATGCTTGCTTTAACAAACATATGATGTAATGAATACAAAATTCAAAGTGTTAGCTTGCTGTTCTGCTTAACAATATTGAAGTATATGTGAACCTTCACTTTGTAAAACAACCATTTAAAATATATTCCATTTAAAATATATATAATTATAAATAGATATAAAAAACATTATAAAGACCACCCCCTTTTTAAAAAAGTGATCACATACCCTCTGTTCTCGCTGCATAAGGAGCTCAGAGAGCTGAAGGAGGAGAAACAACAGCACACTGGTCTTCCCAGTGAATGACTGTGTAGGAGGAGGAGAGGGGTCAGGACAAGTCTGATCATTGGAGGAGAGCAGGCTGAGTTCTCAGCACAAAATCTGACCACACTGTACTCTCATGACTAGTGTGGTCAGCTTTTAATAGGAAAGCAGAGGGACTGGAAGGAACACCAGGGATTTCACACAAAGGAAGCAATACAGAGAGAAAGGATTATTTTTCATACAGGTACATGGCACAACAGGCACATATCAGGAATAGGAAATGTTGGCTTTACAAATTCTTTACATTTGCTACAAATGAGGAACTACACTTGAAACTGACCCTATACAAAATACATTTGTGTAGTAACCCTACACAAAGTGACAAATCTAACACACAGCCTGTAACGCAGACACCATAAGGTGCTCCTACTTATTGCCACCCAGATCTGCTACTGAAGTCATCCTAAAAATCCTATGCAACAATAAAACTTTCTAAAGGTATTTGCTTAGGGGTACACACTCCCCTTAGTGACCCCCCCCCCCTCCAACCAACACATCGATGTTAACCCAGGGAGAAGATTACCAGAGTCATCCGGCACAGAGTACAAAGGGAAAATAAGTGCCAACTGGTTTCAGTGGTTGTAAAAGAAGCACCAACTGATAATGTCAGTGATGGAAAAATAGGCCCCAACATTGATGACAAATGAGCCTTAACTTTTTGCTGTCAGTGGAACAAAATGTGGCACAAATTATTTATTGGTGTCTTTGAAATGAAATTAGCCCAAAGTGAATGGTGTCAATAGGATAAAATGAGACCCAAATTATTAGTGTCAGTGAGATAAAATGAGCCCCAGTCATTGGTGTCAGAGGAATAAAAAAAGCCCTCAAATTATTTGTGTCAGTGGAATAAAATGGCCCCTAAATTATTAGAGTCACTGAGAAAAAATGAGCCCTAAATCACTGGTGTCAGTGTCATAAAATGAGCCCTAAATCACTGGTGTCAGTGTCATAAAATGAGCCCTAAATCACTGGTGTCAGTGTCATAAAATGAGCCCTAAATCACTGGTGTCAGTGCCATAAAATGAGCCCTAAGTCACTGGTGTCAGTGTCATAAAATGAGCCCTAAATCACTGGTGTCAGTGCCATAAAATGAGCCCTAAGTCACTGGTGTCAGTGTTATAAAATGAGCCCTAAATCACTGGTGTCAGTGTCATAAAATGAGCCCTAAATCACTGGTGTCAGTGTCATAAAATGAGCCCTAAATCACTGGTGTCAGTGCCATAAAATGAGCCCTAAGTCACTGGTGTCAGTGTTATAAAATGAGCCCAAAATCACTGGTGTCAGTGTCATAAAATGAGCCCTAAATCACTGGTGTCAGTGCCATAAAATGAGCCCTAAGTCACTGGTGTCAGTGTTATAAAATGAGCCCAAAATCACTGGTGTCAGTGCCATAAAATGAGCCCTAAGTCACTGGTGTCAGTGTTATAAAATGAGCCCTAAATCATTTGTGTCAGAAAACATGAACCCCAAGCAGTGGGTATATGTTCATGATAAGAGCATTCCTCTTATGGGACCTGCTATAATGTCTTGCATAGTACTGTCTCAGAGGATCAAGGTGCTCTATGTATGTTCCTTCTGCTAGTCAAATAATATTGACATACATAACCCAAACTATTACCAAGCTGAGATTGGGGTGCTGAAATCCACAGACATTATCCGTGACAAACCTCCAAAACCGGGGTCCGTTCCTGGAAAACAGTGATGCTTGACTACGTTCCTATAGCCCAGGGGTAATTCATTAAAATTCAAGAAGGTCCAGTCCAGTTACTTCCAGTTGAGGTCCAAATCTCTCTTTTCAAGTAAAAGAAAATAGAACACTTTACATAAGGTCTCCCCATTAGAGCACCTCTTAGTTCAGTTGCTCCCATTAGCGTACCCCCTTTATATCAGGTTTCCCCATCAGAGTATCCCCTTACATCAGGTGTCCTTATCAGAGTACCCCCTTACATCAGGTGTCCTTATAAGAGTACCCGCTTAAAACCAGGTGTTGCCATCAGAGTGCCCCCATACATCAGGTGTCACCGTACATGAGGTTCCCCTACCAGTGTGCCCTCATATCAGGTGTCCTCATCAGGGTGCAGCCTTACATCAAGTGTCCCCATCAAGGTGCCCCCTTGCATCAGGTGTCTGCATCAGAGTGCCCCCATACATCAGGTGTCACTATACATGAGGTTCCCCTATCAGTGTGCCCTCATATCAGGTGTCCTCATCAGGGTGCAGCCTTACATCAAGTGTCCCCATTACGGTCCCCCCTTGCATCAGGTGTCTGCATCAGAGTGCCCCCATACATCAGGTGTCACAATACATGAGGTTCCCCCATCAGTGTGCCCTCATATCAGGTGTCCCCATCAAGGTGCCCCCTTACATCAGGTGTCTGCATCAGAGTGCCCCCATACATCAGGTGGCACCATACATGAGGTTCCCCCATCAGTGTGCCCTCATATCAGGTGTCCCGATCAAGGTGCCCCCTTACATCAGGTGTCTGCATCAAGGTGCCCCCATATATCAGATTCCCACATCATAGTGCTCCCATTTATCAGATACCAAAATTACAGTGCCCCCTCACATCAGGTGTCCCCATCAATGTGCCCCCATACATCAGGTTTCCCCCATTAGAGTGTCCCCATATATCAGATTCCCCCATCAGAGTCTCACTATAGATCAGTAGAGTCCATTAGAGCGAGGCCCAGGTAGGAGGTGGGAGCACAAGCGTGCTGCAGGCGGAGGGGCACACACATGACGTCATTGGTTGCTTTGATGCTGGCAATCCTAACAACCAATGATTGCAGCTTACTGAGGATCCAGCAAAGCATGGTGGGCTGATGGTCCGGACTAGGCTGTCATTAGGTCCGGATCCAGATCACGGTTCACCATTTAGTGAAGGCTGCTATATCCTAAACTTCTGAACTGAATATCTTTGCTTAGCAAAAAGCATTATGTCTGTGGAATGCCATCATGCCACTCCCCTGTGTGACAATTTGTGGCATTATAGATGTGACTAATTTTGGCAATATAGGCGTAGATTTCTTGCATGGTCCAAATGACGCATCAAATGCAGGAAGAAAATGATGAAGTTGGTAAGTTCTTGGATGTGTACTATGGAGCGCCTGCTACAAGATTTCATTTCACTTAAAGGTCTTTTAGAAATGACATGGTTAAGAGCATCAAATTCAGCAAAAAATTTTTTGGGAAAAATCCTCCCCCTTCTTAAGGGCTTGAACAGTTGGTGTTAAAAGAATCACAATGGCATGCACTAGTGAAGATGAAGAGCAACACTTATGCCGGCCATACATTTGTCTGAAAATCGGACCAAAGAACAATCGGTCGATTTTCGCTCTGTTAATGGGTCAATGGCACCGGACGATTTTCGTGGTGATCGGGCGTGTTGGAAAATTCGTGAAAATCTACCGATTTTCGACTCAATGATGGTCAAATCATACGATCGTTTTTCCGAAAAGAATATGCGCATGAGCCGTGACCTAGAAGGAACAGAAGTTTGACCTGTTATATGGGGTAAACTTTATGACTTGGTTGGTCGACTTTCGAAATCATTGATGGCACCATCGGATTACCGAGCGAACAACGTTTTCGATTTTCGGACGAAAAATCGTTTGCTATTCAACCCATGTATGGCCTGCATAAGAGTGGCCAGGTAACTTATCACAGGTCTGCTGGTGCATTCCATCTTGGCTCTATTAACTTGTGCTGCTCATGCCCTGAAGAAGGAGAGACTTTTCCCCAAACACGTGTTGGCTGTGTCTAATCCTCTTCAAGTGTTACTAAACCCAGGACCCTGCATTCACTATATCTGGTCTCCCCGGACCCTGCATTCCCTATATCCAGTCTCCCCGGACCCTGCATTCACTATATCTGGTCTCCCCAGACCCTGCATTCACTATATCCGGTCTCCCAGGACCCTGCATTCACTATATCTGGTCTCCCCGGACCCTGCATTCACTATATCCGGTCTCCCCGGACCCTGCATTCACTATATCTGGTCTCCCCAGACCCTGTATTCACTATTTCTGGTCTCCCAAGACCCTGCATTCACTATATCCGGTCTCTCTGTACCCTGCATTCATTATATCTGGTCTCCCCGGACCTGCATTCACTATATCTGGTCTCCCTGGACCCTGCATTCACTATATGTGGTCTCCCAGGACCCTGCATTCACTATATCTGGTCTCCCCGGACCCTGCATTCACTATATCTGGTCTCCCCGGACCCTGTATCCACGATATCTGGTATCCCCGGACCCTGCATTCACTATATCTGGTCTCCCAGGACCCTGCATCCACGATATCTGGTATCCCCGGACCCCGCATTCACTATATCTGGTCTCCCAGGACCCTGCATTCATTATATCCGGTCTCCCCGGACCCTGCATTCACTATATCTGGTCTCCCCGGACCCTGCATTCACTATATCTGGTCTCCCCCGGACCCTGCATTCACTATATCTGGTCTCCCCGGACCCTGCATTCACTGTATTTGGTCTCCCCGGACCCTGCATTCACTATATCTGGTCTCCCCGGACCCCGCATTCACTATATCTGGTCTCCCCGGACCCTGCATTCACTGTATTTGGTCTCCCACAGTACAAAGAACATGGAAATGCAAATATTTTAGTAAATATAAATTGCTAAATGCCTTTTCTCACCAGCACTATATAGCAGTCTTGTGACCTTTGTCAGTGTCCAGCAACGCACTTGTTACAGCTTGTAGGAGTTTTTATTCTCTTGTAGGAGGATGCAGAACCCCTGGACTTTTATTGGAGAGTGCTGATTGGCCCTGTACTGATCACATGCACTCTCCCAAGAAAAAAAAAAGCTCTCTAGCAATACACACCAAACTGAGCATGTGCAGCTTGCCCCTGAGCCACTGTTCTATCAAGAGATATTTAGGAGATGCTGGAAGAAGGGGAGGATCAGAGAAGTCAGGATCAAACATCCTTTTTACACAATGTGGGGGATTAACCCCTTAGGTTCCACAGTGAGTATAACAAGCATGCCTTACTGCATATACAGACTGATTTTACTGTTGTCATTATACGTTTCAAAAAGACCTTTAGCCAACCACCAGCAATGTGTGTAAACACAACACACAGATTCTGCCTGGATTTCTCCCTGCTTTCAGTTACTGTGCAGAACTGAAAGCAAGGAGAGACCCTGACAGATCTGTAAGCAAAAGCAGCACACATACACTTATTGGGCACACAGTTAACCCCTTGATTGCCATCCTGATCACTCTTGTCATCCAGTCAGTGTCATTAGTACAGTGTACAGCATTATCACTGGTCACTGTATTAGTGTCACTAGCAGGGGCGGACTGACAACTCATGGGGCCCGCGGGCAATAGCGGATCATGGGGCCCCTGTGTCCTCACCCATACCCAAAAAAGCCTATGAAAAAGCCAATGAAAGGTACCAGGGGCATCTCATGGAGCCCCCTACTGAACCAGGGCCCTCGAGCAGTGCACGAGTGCTGGAATGGTCAGTCCGCCCCTGGTTACTAGTGATGTCAGTCAGTCTTCCTTCCAACCAGTGTCAGTTAGCACCAGATTGTCCACCACACTATCACAGTCACACCAGGGGCATCCCTAGGCAGGTGCGGTGGGTGCGCGCCACACCAGGTGACTCCTACTGCACGGGGTGACACCGGACCCGCTCCACAAAAAGGCAAGTTGTAAAGCAAGCCGATGATCCCCGCAGGATGGATAGGGTCTGCGGACTGAGCATAATGGATCAGAGTCCGATCCATTATGCTCAATCCGCAGATCCGATCCATTTTTCGGGGATCGTCAGAGGGGGAGTCACCAAGTGTTATCGCACCGGGTGACACCAACTCTAGGGGCGCCCCTGAGTCACACTATAAGTTGCTAATCACTGCTATTACTAGTGTAGTGTCTGTATGGATCATTATCTTGATCACAATCAGAACTATACTAGCGTCCCCAATAGTTTAGTGTCCCCAATGGTTTAGTGTCCCCAAAACTGCAGTTTGGTTTTTACCAAAAACATGTAGCAGAATATACTTTGGCCTAAATTTTTAAAGAGATGTAATTTTATTGGATATGTTTTATAACAGAAAATAGATATTTTACAATTTTTGGTCTTTTTTTTTTATTTATACAGTAAAAAAAAGACAGTGGTGACCAAATACCGCGAAAAAGAAAGCTATAAAAAGAATTATATAAATTTCATTTGGGTACAGTGTTGCATGACAGAGCAATTGCCAGTTAAAGTAGCTTGGTGCTGAATAACAAAAAGGGGTCAGGTCATGAAGGGGGTAAAACCTTCTGGAGGTCATGTGGTTAAGTGAAATGAACATTTGTAGCAGGCACTCCTCCGTACACATCCAAAGATAGTATGTGCGCCTTTATCAGCAAAGGACGGGCGTGTCGTATGCCAGTTCTAATTCCATTTTCTGGCTGGCCTCCATATAGGCAGGATTCCAGAGGTTAATGTATACACAGGACTCAACATAATGATCTGTTTATACATGGCACTGTGTGTGAGAAAATGGGAACAATGTCAGTCTGTGCATGAGCCAACCGTTCTTCAGATAAACTCTGCTGCTGACATATGTAAGTTATTTAGACCTCGGGAGTTATAATTACTCGGCATTCTCTACATGCTTAGTAATGAGGGAGAGGGGACGCTTTTCAGTTCATTTTCCCTCTCTTTGCGACTGGAGCTGACCATACACCAGTAGAATTTCAATCCAAATGTTGTTTTCTGAAAATTTGTTCGATTTTCTAATGATTACTGAGGTCAAACCAACATTCGTTTCCAAGCACAGTGACAAGAACATTTGAAGAAGTAGTATGGACATTTTTTCTCTGACTAATGAAATTTTAATTGTGACTGTGGTTTTTGTTTGGCGTAGTGCGACGCTTATGATGTCCTGGTTTCCCCTTACTTTACCCCGCAGCCAGGCACAATGTATTCCTTCAGGTAATTACACACACACTTCCGCTTGTTGTCTTCAATGACCAGTCTAAGCCCTGGTTCACATCTGTGTGGTCTTGCGGGCTGCGATTTACGTGGGCACGTAATGGACTCCCGTGCTCCAAGACACGCAGGGAAGAAGCCCCTGCACTACTTTGGAAATCGTAGCCCGCATGGGAACTGAGGCTCCCAGTACGGTTGCGATTTCCAGTGCGGGCGGTGTGCCATTAGAATGAATGGCACCCGCCCACGGGTCCCACATTCCTCCGTGTGGGTGGTGCAGCTGTAGGCATTTGTGCGGGTCCCGCAGCGGCACCTCCCGCACAGATGTGAACTGAGGGTAAAGGATGTTTTTTGTAGTTTATTGTAGAACTGGGGATAGGGATGGGGATTGTAGTAGGATACTCCAAAATTAGAACTATTCACACTGAGGACATCTAGCTGATCTCTTACAGGGGTGTGGACATTTTTTAAAAAACTACTTGTTCAAAATCGGGGTCCCAATCTACTTGTCCCTCATGTCAATCTAATTGTCCTGATTATTATTATTATTATTATACAGTATTTATATAGCGCTAAAAGGTTTGCTCAGCGCTGTACATTATAGTGGTGGACATATACATGAGACAATACAGTGACAATACACGAGGGGGTCAAGGGCCCTGCTCTTTCAAGCTTACAATCTAGGAGGGAGGGGAAAGTGGTACAGGAGGAAGTGACTGTGGGGGATGGAGTGGTAGGAGGAGATCGGCTGTTAGGTAAGGGCGGGGTAGGCTTCCCTGAAGAGATGGGTTTTCAGGGTGCGTCTAAAGGTGAGGAGGGTAGGTGACAGTCTGATGGATTGGGGTAGTGAGTTCCAGAGGATGGGGGAAGTCCTGCAGTCGGGCGTGGGGGGTGGAGACCAGGGAGCTAGAAAGTAGGAGGTCTTGTGAGGAGCGAAGATTATGGGTTGGGTGGTATTTGGGTGTCAGGTCGGTGAGGTAGTTTGGGGCAGCGTTATGAATGACTTTGCATGTCTGTGTTAGTAGTTTGAATTTAATGCGTTGGGCAATCGGGAGCCAGTGGAGGGAATGACAGAGAGGGGTGGCAGATGCGGAGCGGTTGGTAAGGTGGATGAGTCTGGCCGCTGAGTTCAGGATAGACTGAAGCGGGGATAGTCTGCGATGAGGTAGGCCGGTGAGAAGGGAGTTGCAGTAGTCCAGACGTGAGATAATAAGGGAGTGAACGAGTAGTTTAGTAGTAAAAAAAAAATTTCCAGGATGGCAACGTATGGATAGGGGATTGGTTGCTAGGATGCAGGGTGGTTGTTGGAACCAGTCACCAACTAGTTAAAATTAAAAGTTTGCCAGCTCCCTCCCTCCATCCAGACCTGCTGTACCTCCCACTCTCTGCTCTGCTGTGTAAGGTGGGGCTGTCATGGGAAGGAGGTGGGTTTGATGTAAAGGGGGATGAGGACACTAAGGCCTCATGTACATTGCTACTCTGGTGTTTTTTTGCCAAAGTCCCTGAACTCAACTCAGTAAAAGCCTATGTGTCCATGGGATGTCATGGGAAGGAGGTGGGTTTGATGTAAAGGGGGATGAGGACACCAAGGCCTCATGTACTCTGCTGCTCTGGTGTTTTTTTGCCAAAGATCCTGAACTCAACAAAAGCCTATGTGTCCATGTACACGTAGGCTTTTACCAGAGTTTAGGAGCAGAATAATCGCGTTCAGGAGAGGTACATTTTGGCCAAAAATGCTAAACGCTGCAAAACACGGCTAAGCGGTAGCCACGTACAGGGCTTTGGAGTTTCTCCATGTCAGTGGAAAATCCTCTGGCTAATCAAATGAATAAACATCCAATCGCTAAACCTAGTACCACGTTTATATGCCTTTTTGCCACGTTTAGCTTTTTTCTGCTGCCAGGAGAGTTTAACGACTAGGTGAGTTCATGTGTATATGAGGCCTGATATGGAGGGAGGGATGGGACTGTGATGTGAAGGGGCATTGAGGATGAGGAGACTGATGTAAAAGAGGGGGGGGGGCTGGCTGTGATGTAAAGGAGGGATGTGAATTGAAG